TGCAGGTACCATTCCCAAAGCTCAGTACAGTCACTGTGTGCAGGTACCACACCCAGAGCTCAGTACAGTCACTGTGTGCAGGTACCATTCCCAGAGCTCAGTACAGTCACTGTGTGCAGGTACCATTCCCAGAGCTCAGTACAGTCACTGTGTGCAGGTACCACACCCAGAGCTCAGTACAGTCATTGTGTGCAGGTACCACACCCAGAGCCCAGTACAGTCATTGTGTGCAGGTACCACACTCAGAGCTCAGTACAGTCAATGTGTGCAGGTACTACACCCAGAGCCGAGTACAGGTACTATGTGCAGATACCAGACAAAGAGCCCAGTATGGGTGCCACTGTCTGATTCTTGGTAATTTTGCTGCATTGCAGATCCCTAATTATTTTGCCCCATAATTGAACTGATACTGCGCTAAGGTACTCACTCTTCTCATCTTTCACTCCACAGGATATGGTCATAAGCTGTTTACACTGGGGGGGCAGTTTCATGTTATGTATATCCACAGGTTTTGTCTCACTTCCAAAAAGCAAGGTAGCAAAGCGCATAAAACTGATATTTAAGGAACTTACTTGTGTAACAAGAACTTTTTGAAAAATCGTCTATTATTAGTTTTGATCTGTTAGGGGTCATTAATTGCCGTTTGTTTGAGGTAGTGGGAACTCCCAAAAGTTTAGGGATAGAAACGTGTGTGTAGGTACAGGAACACGTGCGTTGTGAGTTTGTGTGTGAGATTCCGTTAGTGCTGATTGGCGTGTGTACACACATGCTTCAGCATACCATCCAAAATTGTTTCTCCCACGCGAGCAGGCATCACTTGACCAGAGGGAGAGGAATTCTGGGCCAGAAGCAGTGCTGGACACACTTTCCCAGGCAGAGAGCTCCCTGAGGAGAATCTACCAGGGCACACACATGCTTCTACTTACAGAGTCTGGGAGCCACCTCTGCGTCACAGGAAATGAACTCCGACCTTTGAACCGCAAACCACAAGATGTGACCATGAGCTGTGATCTGGCCTGTGTTTTTATGGGCTGACAGAAATGGTTTGGGGGCACCAGGGCTGGACAGATCAGAAGTAATCTGAGAACCAGCAGCAGTGAGATGCTGCTCTCTTTCTGTGTCTCTGCATCATGCTCTCTTGCAGCTTACACACGTGTTTTGCAATGATCTCTTTACATTTTCCTGGATCAATTTAGTTTGTAGTCAAATTTTCTCAGCATCCATCACCTAAACTACCAACGACGTAGAGACACACACACACCATCTCTGAATCAGTATTTGAGATGTTTCTGAGTTAAAGCAGTGGACAGCTGTTGTTTAAGCTTCATGTGTCCCTTGTAGGTGTTAACCACACTGCCCCCTGGTGGACTACATGAAAAAGTACTCCCAGTGTCACTGTTCTGTGGAACACTATATTTTCGGTAGTTCAGAAGCATAAGGAGCATCTTGTGTGTGTGTGTGTGTGTGGTCCAGGTATACCTTACCTTGTGGGGACCAAATGTCCCCACAACGTGATGAATACCTGTTGTTTTTTTTGCCTTATGAGGACCAGGAAACTGGGAAAACTCTA